GGGGGTAAAAGAGGAGCTGATGCCAAAGGCTCAAGTAGAAATCAAATGTTTTGAGAATGATGATGGCAAGAAATGTACAACTGTGCTCGACTCGATGGATGGATGGATGGATTGTGATAAGAGCTGTAAGAGCCCCCAATACAACGATTTAAAAAAATCAATCATAAAATAAAATAAAATAAACTCATTGGCGCAATGCGGCAGCCACAAAATAATAAATTTCACTGCCGTAGAATCCATGCCAACTCACAACGACCCTGTAGGACAGCGGTTCTCAACCTGGGGGTCGCGACCCCTTAGGGGTTCGAACGACCCTTTCCCAGGGATTTCCTAAGACCTTTGGAAAACACACATTTCCGATGGTCTTGGAACTGAGACATGGCTCCTATCGTCTCCAGGTGGGTCCGCCCACATGCAGATACGCCCACCATGAGCACCACATCTAACTCTACCTCACTCACATCTACAACCAACACCAACACCACCCTCACCACACCCTCACCTCCTCCTCCACCTGGACCACACTCACACCACCGCTTCCACCACCCCCTGCAGCCCAGCCGGTGCCCTCAGTGTGGAATTAGTCAGCCGTGAATGATGCCCCACCCCCAGGACGTGTTCCGTGTGAGGGGCTATCTCAGCAGAGGCCCATTGCTCCCCTCTCAGGGTGCAGCCTCTCGGCTTCCATCCTCAGCCTCGCCCCCCGGAGCTCCGGTTCGTGGACTTACCCGATGGGAGCTGTCTCTTCCTCGGGTGCCTCCCTGCAGGTCCCTTTCCACCTGGGGGGAGATGCGGACTCACCTGTGAGTGCCTCCCCTGGTCTGCGAGGCGGCCCTCCCCGCAGCGCCATCGCAGGGAAGGCTGGGGAGTAGAGCTGAGCGAGCGAGTGGATAGCACAGCACGAGGGAAACAATCTCACCACCGAGGCTGTAATTGGGTTTAATTGGTTCAGAGGAGGAGGCTTGGCTGGAAGAATATCTCTTAATAGGAGGCCTGAAAATAGCCGGGCGCGCAGTCGTTCCTGGAAATCGGATTACGGTCCGCAGGGAAGAGCCGGCTTGCTGTCATCGCAGCAGGGTGGAGGGGTGAGTCAGGGAGCAGCCCATCTCCCCACGGGAGTCTCTTCCCTTCGGCTGTGCACAGGGCTGACGGTGGCTCGGGTGCACGTTGACAGACAGCATCTTCATCTCCCCACGTCACGTCATCTGGACACAAGTGGTCCCTGGATGTACCAGCGCCCACCTGCATGCCTTGTGCCCCATCTCCTTGCTTCTACACCCCTGCTGTCTCCCCGCCGGTGGGCTTGGGCCAAGGCGGCCCTGTCATTCGGTCAGTCTGTCTCCCTCGAGAACGGAGGGTCCCTCAGGGGCGCGGGCTTCACGGGGTTTTGTCAGAGGCTGTGTGCAATGAGGGGGCTTCAAAGAGTTCCCAGGTGGCGTGGAGTTCCCCGGGGAGCTGAGGTTGATGACAGGTCAGTTTATGGTGCCGACCTGGCCAATAGGAACATGGGGCTTCATCGGGTGGCAGTGTGATTGGAGGGCAAAGAGATCAATGGCTCGGCAAGGCCTGCCCCCAGCCCCCTCTTGCTCTCTGGTGATCAGAGCAGTGTGCGGCTGCTTTAGCAAGTTCTCTGCCTCCACTTGTGAGCTGCATGACCTGTGGGATAAGCCAACCCGTGGATCACGTCACTAGAGCTTGAGGTTCCTTTGAGACCTGCACGGCCACGCTGCTGGTGTGGACATCGCTTGAGCTTGGGGCTGTGGATCCTGTCGTCTTGCATTGCGTGAGTTCGATATCCCATCTGGGCCGCTTCCTGAAGCTCCCGAGCGGCTGACCGCTGGTGACCCACCCTGCTGTCTGCTGCCTGTGGGCGGACTCTGCCTGCCTTGCCCTACAGAACACTCAGCTGTCTGCTTCCTTGACCTTGGAGCCAGCATCCTTCCTGAGGTGAAGGACTTCCAGTCTATTAACTGTTCCCCGGGAGTGAGTTGAACTGAGCCCTCTGCACTGCTGTATGGACTAATGAGCTGTTATAACCTTTCCTGCTGCATAAACCCATTCATGTATCTATATGATCTACAATCATAAGTGTCCTGGTTTTGTTTCTCTGGAGAATCCTGCCCAACACAGTTGCAGTTAAGATGCTGCAAGTCATCTTAAGAGGACTGGATACGGAATTGTTTGTTTTGCTTTGTTTTTAAGATCATGGAGTTTCCCCACAAACTTTTTGAAGCTCTCCTCCCACCCCCTCATCCCCCTTACTTGGTTAGAAAGTGTCCTCTGAGTGTCTGCAGTTCCTCCGTGTGTACGTCTGGGTACTTTAGAGAAACAAATATACAGAAACTCATGTCTAAGAGAGAGTTTTAGATAAAGGTTAAGTGCACATCAAGAAAACATCCCCACCCAGTGCTGCCCAAGCCCACATGTCCAACATTAGCTCGTATGTCCAACACCAATCCACAAAGTCCTCCTCCATCCCACAAAACACACGCAATGATGCCGACTGCAGGAGGAAAGCCGAGTCAGTGAGCGTGGAAGCATCTCAGCACTGGCAGGGGTCTCCACACGGCTGCTCCAGCACCCAGGGCTGCATCGGGGTAGCTCCATGCGGCTTCTCCTCGGGGATGTCTCGCAGGAAGTGAGCCTTGCCAGCTGAAGCAGGGAACTGCTAAGGCAGCTGCACCCTGGTCCAACCATCACAAAGCAAGAGACCCGAGAACTAGAAAGGGGAGGCTCACCACCCATTTATCCCTCTGCCCTTCAATGAACCCCACATGTATTTATCAGCCAGGTTGGCATAATAAACTAACTACCTCAGCCCTCAATGAGATGGACAGACACATGGGTGCAACATTGGGTGGAACTATGCTGAGGATGGTGCAGGACCAGGCTGTGTTTTATTGTGTCGTGCATGGGCTCGCTGTGGGTCAGACCCCACTCCATAGCACCCCACAGGAACACGTAGCCCATGATGGATGCTGTCCACTTCTGCAGGGTTTCTCTCCAAAGCTTCAAGTCCAGATTGGAGGTTCTCTCTCTCTCTCCCTCTTCAAAGTCTTTTCCACATCTGTCCACTGGTCATATCAGTAAGATGCACCGTCCTCTATCCCAGCCCAGAACCCCTCCCCGGCGGTTCAAAGCCACCAGCCACCGCTCTGGAGATGAAAGGCAGGGCTCTCTCCTCCCGCCAAGAGATCTGCAGTTGCGGTTCTACCCCGTCCGTCTCGGGCTGCTGTGTGGCGGACTCCACTCGGTGGCGGTGAGTTGGGTCTTGATTTTCCAAAGTCCCTGGCGTGGATGAGGTCTTTGAGCTCTGCCACCCCCCTGGCCGTCCTTTCCCAAGCAGCTGGTCTCCCGTGATCATGAGCCCACCACTGTCCCCTTCAGCTTCCTCGCTGGTCTTCCTGGGGGCCATGGGCAGTGTGATCCCTCATAGCTGGCCCTCTAAAAGGGTCAAGAATTCTGGCAGCACGGTGGGGGGCACGCCGGGATGCAAACCATCAGGCCAGCCGCGGGAGACCCCCAGCTGCCCTGATGGAGAAAGTCGAGACTGTCCACTCTCCTCACGCGGCGCAGCCCAGGGGCAGCGCTGCGCTGCCCACGGCATTACTGAGTCAGGACAGATTTGTTGACGGCGGATCGGTCTTTGTTCCTGTTGAGCTCAGCTCTCGTTGGCTTTGAGAAGGACTTCGCGGGGTAGTTTGGGTGCTTGGTGAAGGGTTTGAAGCCTGTCTCGGGGCTTCCTCCAGGCGCTCGGTGTCCACCAAGTCTGGATTCCATGCGAAGGGGTGGACGTCAGCTCGGGGTCACTTCCCTTAGAGCTCCCTTCTTCTGTGAAGCCCTCCAGCAAGCTGGTCGGCCTTGGGAGCTGGTGCAGTGGGTGGGAGACAGCGGGGGCAATGACGGCCATCTCTGTTCCCTTGGCGGCTTCTGCTGGCCCCTGTCCATCTCTGAGCGATCGTGGGGGGGAAGCTCACAGGTAGACGGCACGCGTGCCTGCCCCCTGGGCAGCGGGTTTATCCTGGCTCAGTCCACAGCACCCACTTCCAAGACAAACGGAGGAGGCATCTGCCGGCGGTTTCTCTCTCTCATTACGTGACTATATCCACGGGCGGCCAGCGTGCTCCTGGGAGGCCCGGGCCGGGAGGGGGATGGGGGGGGCACTGGCTCTCATGGACTTTGGACAGGTTGTCAGGACCAGGAAGTGCTGTGTTGTGATTATTGTTGTTTTCGATAAGCTCACTTGTCACTAAAGATTCCACGTCCTTTTCAAAGTTGCTTTGTTTTGTTTTTAAGCGATGCCAACACCGTTTGGGTTTCTGTGATAAAGAATCAGGAGGGAATCCCCCCCCCCTTCATTTTTTGGTTTTTAAAGAAACATCCTCTCTCTCTAGAGAAGAGTACACAAGCCCAAGAAAGGAAATCAACAGAAACATCTCGTGAAACCCTACTCGGGCCCTCCCCTCCCCGTCGCCACCCCTGCCCCGGCCTCCCGTGGCGGCCTCCTCTTGCCCTGTGTTGTGCATGGGGTCGCCCTGGGCTCCCACCTACCTGTCGGCAGGTAGGATTGCCCCACTTGGGGCGGGTGTTTTTCAAAAGGGGGCGCCTGCGATTGCTTATCTCATGACCCCTTCTCTTCTCGCCCTCCCCTCCCTGTAGGCTGATGGACCGCTCTTCCCGGGCTTGTCCACCAGGCGTTGCTGCCCCTGGACATTGTTTGGTGGCCAGCGTCTCCTAGGAGCTTCCCGCTCGCCGGAATCTGGATCTGAGGACACGCGGGTGCTGCTTTCCGGGCATGGGCTGCCGAGGACACGGATGCTAACACTGCTCCCTCTACGAGCAGGCAGACAAGTGCCCAGTGCATCGAGGCGGCCCCTGGACCGGAGGCTCTCTCTCTGTTGGCCGGCTGCCTCCCCCGGGCTGTGTCACACGGACGCCGGCGGATGTGTGTGTGAAACATGTGGATGCCCGTGGGGAGGTTATGGCTCCCGCTGCCCTTCCCTCTGGTTGGCGCCATGTCAGACTCCAGAGCCCTCCTGTGGGTGACCGCGCTGGCCATCCACCTCACGCTCACGGACGGCCAAGCCCAGTACCCAGTGGTCAACACCAATTACGGCAAAATCCGGGGCCTGAGGACACCACTGCCCAATGAGATTTTGGGCCCCGTGGAGCAATACTTGGGGGTCCCCTATGCCTCTCCTCCCACCGGGGAGAGGCGCTTCCAGCCCCCCGAGCCCCCTTCCTCGTGGACCGGCGTCCGCAACGCCACGCAGTTTGCAGCCGTGTGTCCGCAGCACCTGGACGAGAGGTCCCTGCTTCACGACATGATGCCCATCTGGTTCACCGCCAACCTGGACACTCTGATGACCTACGTGCAGGACCAGAAGGAAGACTGCCTATACCTGAACATCTACGTGCCCACGGAGGACGGTAAGTCCTGCAGGGAAGCGGAAAGCTGGGTCTGCTAACCTAGCAGTGGGGGCTGGCCCCCGGCCTCCCCTTTGTGTTTGACCAATCACCTCCTGTGCACGGTCCTTCCCAGAGGCCGTTTGGTTCAGCACCTTGTTGCTCGACGCCCTTGGTCCGCATTGCTTTTCCATCGTAGCGGCCACGCTGATGTTTGTTTTAAACTTCGAGGCGGTGACCAGTCGGTGGGAATAGAGAGCCTTGGGGCTCCCCAGGGGACACGGGGGGCAGGGGGGGCTTCAGCATGCTCCTGGAAACACGGAGCTCCTGGGAAGGTCATGGGATTCTCCCACGACTCCTTGATGCCTTCTGGTACTTGGGAAGGAAGGGACGTAAGGAGAGGGCCAGGGCGCGGGGGACATGGTCAGGGTTGAACCAACCAATGGAAGACAGGTCGGGGGGACAGTTCCTTTGACGGTGATGCGCTCAGAGGTGGCCGGGTCTGTCCTTGTGGAAAGAGCTCTGGTGGTGCCATGGTTCCACGGTCACATGTGGTCCTCGTGGTCGGGCAGGTGGAGACCAGCAGCATTTCTGCAGGAGACAGCCGGGGCTTTGGACTCCTGTCCACATGACGGTCTTGGGGACCCACGGGGCGCCGATGGGAGTCAGCCCTGACCGTGTGGCAGCGAGTTCGAGTTTTTGGTTTGTGTGTTGTGTTCTGAAAGGCAGGGCAGGCGTGGGCTGGTTTTAGCACAGACAGGGGGCCGGTCAGAACACGCCGCGACCGTTTGGGAATCTGCTCCCGGGGGACCTTCACTGCGGTCAGACGTGCTGAACACACAGGCCTGGGCTTTAAACAGTGGTCACTGTTCGTGTCGTAAAGCAACAGTGGGAAGTCTATCTGGACGTTCCTGCCGTCTGAGATGATGAGAATCCAGACGTGGACAGATTTCAAGGGAAACCTTTCTACAAAGACAAAAGCACGCGTATCGGTGCAGCCGCGGGATGTGTGTAGACGAGGTCCTGCGTAGGCTCAGTGATCAGTTGCCTATGTGAGATTTTTAGGGAAGAGGGAAAATCATGCTGTAAAATGTATATATATTTAATAGATGTGTAACGATGCTGTCGATAAATGCTAATGTATATTTACGCTCAGTACATAGTTAGAAGAATAACACTTAAAACATATACGGAACAAATCTACCTGCCTCATCAGGAAGCCCTTTACCCTTTAGTAAAAGTATCACATGATGGTCCTCAGTGACTATAACCCTGGATACTTTATTCGAGAAGAAACCGTAGGACGTGTGCATATCATAGATATAAATCGCAACCCAACGGATATGTTTATAAATAGCAATTCAACTGATATGTTTATACCAAGTGGAGTCCTGGTAATGAGGTAGTGGTTAAGCATTATGCTGCTAACTGGCAAAGCCAAAGGTTCAAATCCACCAACTGCTCCCTGGGAGCAGGACGAGGCTGTTTATTCTCAAAATAAAGAGCTACCATCTCAGAAACCAACAAGGCCACCCTCCCCTGTCCTGGGGGCTCGCTGTGAGCCGGCATGACCCCGATGCTGGCAGTGAGCTTGTTTACTTTGTCCGTTTATAGTAAATGTGCATTTGCTGATAGAACATAGAACACCGGCTTGTAGGAACTAGCTGTGTGTGTGTGTATGTGTGTGTGTGTGTTCGTGGAGGCACAGAGCAATCGCAAACATGGCAGTGAAAATGTCTCTCTGCTGAGGAGCCTGGTGGCACAGCAGGCTCCCTGTTGGCTGCCAACCCCAAGCTGGGATCTTCGAATCCCCGGGCTGACCCGAGGCAGGAGGATGAGGCTTTTCTGCCCCAGTAAAGCCTGACAGCTTCAGAAACCCCAGGGCAGCTCTACCCCGTCCTGAGGGCCCCTGAGCACTAGACTGAACTGATGGCCGTGAGTTTATTCACATAGGTTATAATTATAATAACACAAAGTGACTAACATCTAGTTTTCTAATCCATATGTGTGATACCGTATGTGTTTATAACACACGTGTGTCTATATTAACGGGACACACAAGCTCCATGATGAAACATATCTTTGACATGCAACACGTGGTCGATAATAGACATGTTTCCAGTAAGTACGTATTTACGAGAATAAAAGTTAAATCCTGTACTAAATCAATACGCAGCTATAATCAGGGGACCGTATCCCAGCCATTGACACTTCAGTGAAAATATCGGGTCTAATTTCTCAGCTGCTCGATGCATATGTAACTGTTATGGGGAAGAAAGCAGAAATAAAGCCATATTCAATATAGTTATTATATATAACATAAGCCCCAGGCCCACTGGCGTGTTTCCAATGCGTGGACACCTGCAAACTGCAATCCCGGAGGTTCGAAGCCCCCGTCAGTCTGAGGGAGAGATGAGGGGGCTGCGCTCGCCTGCAAAGCCGCACGGGGCAGGTCCACCCTGTCCCCCGGGGGAGCTAAGAGTTCACATAAACTTAAACGCCGTGAGCCTGGCTTCCAGCACACGCATGCTTATAAAAACACGGTGAGATGAAGTACACACGGATACTACATACATGCGTACGCTGTATCATAAGGGAGCTGTATCTATTTCAGGGGGGAAAATGCCATCTCTCAGTTACCCTTCCCGCACGTTATTTAACTAAGAGGAAGAAGATTGAAACACAAAGTGGAAATGGTTCTGCTTCAAAGGGACCGTGTGATGAATGCATGTGTGTGTGTGTGTGTGTGTGTGTGTGCACGTAGTAGGTGCAATGACAATAGCAGGTAATAAACCACATGAGGTACACGGCTATCGGTGCAGTTAGTCAGGGAAGAGGCCCCGCTCGGGTAGCGGCGTCACATCGTGTTGCTAAACACCAGGTCGGCAGTTTGAAACCACCAGCCGCCCCATGGGAGAAAGATGAGGCTTTCTACTCCTATTTAAATAGAAATATACATAGATACAGATCGTCTTGGAATCTCACAGGGGCAGTTTTACTCTGTCCTCTGAGCCCACCGTGGGGTCCGAATAGGCTGGAGGTCAGTGGGCTGTGTATGGAAAATGGAAGCTTATGAAAACCAATTTTCACAATCCAGGCCAATCCACGGTCCGCAAGACGGTCTCTGCCAATGCGTGCATGCCTTTTATGCAGTGCATGGGTTTTCATGTCAAGCCTCGGGTGTTGCAGGAAGCGCTGGCTCTGGGGCCGACCTCAGTAATCTCCCTACTTCCAGGACCCCCAGCTCGGACGGTCCCTGTTCCTACATCACCCTCCATGGAGCGGGGCTGGGGGCTCCGGAGCGGTGGTGGGGCCCAGCCTCACCGGTTCGGCAGAACGGGGACCACCTTTGTTAGCGAGTCCTGCAAACCGCTGTTGAGGGGGTCCTTGCCCGAAGGTGGGCATCTGGGGAGCCGTCCACAGCCACACACAGCCTCCCCGCCTTCATCTTGTATCTCGCTCATCGGAGCATTGCAGGTGTCTGATCTCACGCTGGGATAACAAACCGCCTTCCCGTAGTAGATCGTGTTGTAAAGACTCAAAAGGGTCCCTGCAGGGCAGTGTGGTGGTTACATAATCTGGTGTCCATTGGGGACATGGAGGGATTAAGAGTGAAGGGTGACAAAAAAAGAGTGAAGGGGTGGAGTCTAGTCTGTCCTTGGGGTCCCAGCCAATGAGGCCTCGGTGTGGGCGTGGCCTGTAAAGAT